TTTCCTCCTTCTATTTTGCACATAGAAGGTCCGAGATAATCCACTCCAACAAATTCAAATGGACGTGATTGTCTTACTCTTTCTTTAGGCAATATAGGCATATCCGGCAGTGCAAATTTAGGCGAACTAATTCTTTGGCACTTTTTGCACTCTTTTATAACAATTTTAGTTATGCGCCTTGCACATGGCGTCCAAAATTTCATTAAAAAGTTTGCAACTGTTGAGTCAACTCCCGAGTGACTCAATTCTTCATGCATTTTTCTCAATAAAAGTTTTATAGCAAAACATCCCTTAGGTAATAAAATCGGATGTTTAAAATAATCTTCTGCTTCACAATTAATTATTCTTGTTTTTAATCTTATTAATCCATTCTCATCAATTATTGTCTGTAAATTATCGTTCTTTTCGTTTTTGTAAGAACTTTGTGCAATTTTTAAAACAAAAATTTCAACTTTTTTGAAATTATTTGCCGACATACGATTTTTCAAATTTATTTCACTAAGAAATTTTTCTTTTACAATTTTTCTGCTCTTTTCTATCCAAATCCGAGCAGCTATTGTTACAAACATTAAACATTTAATTAATTTATTCCATGAGTTCCAATTATTAAAATTTATTAAATTATCTTCTTCATCTATCTTTTTATTTAAACAACTTAATATTAATTCCTGATTATCTTCTTCGCAAGTATCTTCTTTTTCAATTTCAAAATTCAATTCATTTGGCCAATTATTTTCAGGCCTTTTTAACCAATCAGGACCTTCCCACCAAATATGGCATTTTTCTAATTCAGATGCCATTATACCGCGAGTGGCTATATCTGCTGGATTATCAATCGTATTAACATATCCAAATTTAATTCCATTATTTTTTCTTATTTCATTTATTCTATTTTCTATAAATTTTTCATTTTTGCCTCCTGCCTTTATCCAGCTTAATACCGGCTTTGAATCACACCATAAAAATTTATCTTTAATTTCAACTCCGATTTGTTTCTCTACAAATTCTAAAGCTCTTTTAGCAATAACCACGCCTAAAAGTTCCATGCGTGGTATTGTTACTTCTGATTTTCTAGGTTTCAAACGATTTCGTGCATATAATATCTGTGTATGAATTTTTCCTTCAAATTCCGATTTTATGTATATGCAAGCAGCATAAGCACATTTAGATGCATCAGAAAATGCATGCAATTGTTTTACACTTTTAATATCAGTCACTCTTCTATTAATCTCGATGGGATCTAGTGTCCATGACCTAGTGATTTCTATCCATTTCATTGCATTTTCCTTACTAATTTTATCATCCCACTTATTCTCTTTAGTCCATAATGACTGAAAGAATAATTTTGCAGATAAAAGACTAGGTGAAGCAAGTCCTAATGGATCAAACATGCTTGCTAATTCACGAAGAACTATTCTTCTAGTCACGCTTTCAGCCGAATTCACTATTGGAAATACAATATTTATCTTATCTGAAGATATTTCCCATGGTATTCCCAAAATTTTAGGCTTATTCTTCTCCAGCCTATCTTCGAGTGGGAAACTTTCATTAAGCTCCACATTATTACTGATGAATTCTCTTAAATTCATTTGAGCATCTCTAAATATCTCTTTTAATCTTTTATAAGCGAGCCAAGCTTCATTGGCCGATTCTACTCCAATAAATATATTATCCACATAGGAATTTTCTTTAGCAATCTTTGCAACAGGGTCATCACACTTCTCTAAATGATGTCTGACAGTCGCTGATAACAAAAATGGACTCGAGATTACCCCAAAGGGAACTTTTGCAAATCTTAGATATTGAATATTCTGGGTTGATATGGGTTTCTTCGTATCTTTTACCCATATAAACTTAGTCACTTCTCTATCTTCTTCTTCCAATTCTAATGTATGGAATGCCTTTTCAATATCAGCCCACATGGCAATTTTTGGCACTCTAAATCGAATTAATAATCCTGCTAAATCCGGCATAATTATTGGCCCTCGATATAAACATTCATTTAAGCTTTTTCCTTCTCGCATTCTTGCGGAAGCATCATAAACTATGCGCACCTTTTTTGTATTAATAACAGGGTGGTGGGGCAGAAAATGTTCTATTTCCCCTTTCTTCTTTTCAGCCTTTTCAATCACACCTCTTTTCAAATCATTATTAATTATTTCCTCGTATTTATCTAATAAATCTGGATTTTTCTTTAATTTATCCATGAGATTTAGAAATCTTTTATATGCCAATGAAAAATTAGATGGCAAATTGTCTTTCTCAATTTTCCATGGCCATTTTACTATATAACTTCCATTTTCATTTCTTTTAATCGTACTATTAAATAAATCTAAAGCAACTTTATCATCTTTACACACAGGATCATCTTTGACTCCTATTGTCTCTAATGACCAATAATTGTTAAGTTCCTCATTTTCCAAAGTGTTAGAACTTAATATAGTACACAAATTTTCCTTTTTATTTAATCTTTTAAATTTTTCACCGCTAATTTCGCCACAAATTATTGGCCCTACAGTCGTTTCAACTTTAAATAGATAGTCCGATAATGGTTCTATTCTTTTAAAGAACCTCCAGAAATGCTTCATACCTATAAGCATATCAGGGACTATATTTGCGCAAGCAATCTCATTTGTTCTTAAGTCTGCGCATCTAAATCTTGGCATCAAATTCTTATTAATACTATAAACTATTATTTCTTCAAAATTTCCATTATCAAGAAGAACCTTTAAAGAATAACACGAAGTTTTTAGCTTTATTGGCTCTTTTCTGAAAAATGGGACAACTCCTAATTCTGTTCTTTTTAATTTTTTCAATTTTAATTTTTCAACAAGTTCATTACATAAGAAATTAACTGTTGCTCCTGAATCAAAGAAGCATTTTGCATTTATTTTATTATTTCTCTCTTTTAACATTAAATCTGCTTTCATCAAAACAATATTATCTTCGCCGTTATCATCAATATTAAGCATATTTTCACTTATTTGATTAACGCTTTCATTTTCCTTAATCTGTCCTTTCTTTTCTTTTTCAACTTCTTTAGGACAGATTATTTTATTGTGGTCTCCTTTACATATACCACAACTATATTTCACATTACAATCTATTTTGGCATGGCCTTTCCTTAAACAAATCAAACATCTATTTTGTTCAGACAGAATGCTCATTCTCTGTCCAATAAATCTGACTTGCTTACAATTTCCAGCTAAGTGTGGACCATTGCAAAACAAACATGAAATTTCTCTTTTTTGGTTCTTTGGCGCTGTAAATACACGCGCAGGTTCCGGTTTTCTCTGATTATTTGTGTTTCCATTAAATCTCCTTTGATTAAGATTCGGCACATTTTGCCAACTATTTTTATATGCCAATGACCTCGTGCATCTTTGTGCCTCTTCTCTTAAGGCCACAATTTCTGCAAGTCCTTCTCTTAATCTTCCTACACTCCAATTTACTTTCTCCAATTTTTCCATTTTTAATAATTCTAGAACAATACTTCTTGGCAATTTATTCTTAATTGCCATCATAACTATAGATTCATCTTCTAATTGCCCCATAGCAGTCAATGATCTACAAATTCGTTCAACCTCCTCGAGATATGAACGTAAAGACCATATTGATTCGTTAGCCACTGGCAAGCTAATTAGTTCGGCATGCAGTGTATCTCTAATTGCCTTTTCATTTCCGAATTGTCTTATAAGAGCATCTTTCAAAGGCGCATAATGTTCTGATATTGGCCTATAACCCAAAATTGCCCTTTTTGCCTTACCTCTAAGACATTGTATCAAATAGTGGGCCTTTAGCCCGTTATCAATATTCAAACAATCCACCGTTCTCTCAAAAGCCTGCCAAAATTCAGGCCAACGTAGAGTATCTCCATAAAATTCTGGCAGTCTAGTCCGCGGAAGATGAGGTGGAAGCACCTGCTCACTTCTAACTGGGACTTGCTCTACATTTATATTTCTGCGGACTTCATTTGTCCGATTTAAGCCAACTCCTATTTCCTCTGAGATCTCTGACTGCGTACTACGAGCATCAGAACCTTCAGCAAGAACAATTTCTATGTCATCGATAGCCTCTCTTCCTGAGTCTATCCATTCTAAAAAATGCCGTTCCTCTATGGCATATCTAGCAAAAACACCTTCTTCGGCAACTCTTTCATTTGCCGGTAAATCTTTAATATATTTTTCCCATTTTTCAACTTTTTCTTCCACGAAATTAATTGCCCTACGGATTTTAACTGCCATTCTTTGGAGTAACTCTACTCCTTCTTCAGTGCGTTCAGTGGCATCTATGATAGGTCTTACCTCTTCAAGGTATTTTTTCAATCGTACTATGGATGGCGCAATAGTACTTCTAATCGTTCCTGACATCTTTTAATTTATTTTATTCCAATATTTCCCAATTAATCTCTTTTTTAAATCCTTTTTTACCGAGCTTTCCAAATCTCAGCTCTTCCAATAATATTTTTTTACTGAGCCTTTCCTTTTCACGGCTCTTCCAATAAATCAATTGAGCCTATAGCTCTTCAATTTATTCTTCTAACTTTTTCTTTAATAACCCGCCGTTGGGTCGTGGCACCAAATGTAAAAATACTTTCCCCTTTCTTAGGGAAAACTATTTCACCTTCCTATTCTTTAACAGGGAATTAAAATATCTTAAATTAATTATTCCCTCGGAATAATTAACTAGATAAAACAAATTAAATAAATAAACACAAACACAACTAAAATTCTTTATCTTCAAACAAAATAAATATTCACACAGAATATTAAAAAAAATGAATATCTCAAAAGACATTGAAAAGTGAAATTTCTGCCTACTTTTTATAGGCAAAAATTTCTATATAAAAATGATGCAATGTTAAGTACATTGCAAAAAAGTACATAAAAAATTGTCAAAAATGGAAAGTGACTCACTGAGTCACCTCCAAAAATAATAAACAAAATAAAAAATATCAAAAATATTTCAAATCTTTAATTCTTCAATTTCGTCATCGACAGATGAATTTTTTAAATTATATTTTATTTGTGTTAGTTGTTGTTGAGACTGGGAGTAAAAATAAGCTTATAGCACCTGGTAAATTATTTTTTAATTTATATTAATTTTATTGAGGAATACCGGAACAGAAAGGGACTCGATTTAGTATTTTTAGGTCCTAGTGAGAGGTCTTGTTTCTCTCTCTCCTTTTTACGATCAAAATTTTGGGTAATCCTCCCATCTGGCGTCCCAGTCTTGAAATAACATATCTTTGAAAATGCATAGTTGACGTGAAGGCTTATATTTTATTTTTAAATAACGAAAGGGATTTTCACAGTAGAAACACGATAATTAACCCTTGGGAGGCAAGGAGATTTTTTCTATTCAATCCTTCAGTGACCCCAACCTTTAAAATGACAAATAATTTAAAAATCTTATTATTATATTTCAGTACATGCATTACTAGCTAATGAACAAAAGTTTGTTGAAGACAGACATAATTGGCGTCGTTCCCAACTGGCAGGTGGGCAATCACAAAACAAAACGGGGATGATGCCTACAGGCAAAAATATTTGGACAATGGTTGGATAAACTCAAAGAAATATTAATTTTAAAATTTTAAATAGAAATACGACGCATCTTTAGAGGCTAGTGCCCAAGCATGGACCAATCAATGTACTATGACCCATTCTGGTAGTCCTAATGGGGAGAATGGCTGTTTCCTTGGCAATCAAGAGACTAATGGTAAAAAAATTTCTTTGAGGACTATCACGGATAAAAGTGCTTTTTCAGTGGTAAATGCTTTATCAACTTGTTGTGATCTTTGGTGGGCAGAACTTGTGAATAATGGAGCTCCTAGCGATTTGGTATTGACAAGTTCAAATTGGTATCCTACTGGGCATTGGAGTCAAGTAAACCAATTTTGAAAAAAATTTTTTGTAATGTGTTGGAGATAATTTTAAATAAATTTTGATGAAAGGGCATTCCTAGGGCCGAAACGAAGAGCCGATGATTTTTCACTTTGGATATCGGTTCGGTTCTGGATATCCAAAAATTTTCTAAGAACCGACACCCCTAGGCATTCCTTTACTCTACGAACACAAGCAACCTTATGACTCAGATCAAGGATCCGGGCCCGATAACCATAAATTTATCTTGTGGTTTCTCTATAAATTCCTAGCGAAAATTTTGCTAACGTTCTTTGTTTTACCAAAAACCTCCAAATAAACCATCCTTCATTACTTTCAAAATTTCCTTTCCAAGCTTATTAAGAATGTCGCTATGCTTTACTATAAAAATCACCATTAGTACCATTACATAATATTAAATTTTTATTTAAATTTATATTTAAGATGGCCTGGGCAAATACTTTAAAAGTTGGTTGTGGCTTCGCTTACTGTCCTAACAGTACTTATAAAACTCACATTTTCTGTCAATACAGTCCACCGTATGTTGACTAGATTTATAATTTGCAAAAAAAATTTTAATTTAGCGGAAATTACATGGGACAAAAAATTTATGAGCCTGGACCAGTTTGTAGTGGTTGTAATGTAGTCAATGGACAATTGCAGTGCCAATATGGACTCTGTATTTGAGATGAAGCTATAAAATGAATTTAATAGTTATTTTGATAGATGTCAGATACGTAGATAATGCTTATTTTTATAGTAATACCGTAAATTTTCTGATATATTTACCCCATATTTTAGTAAGATGCTTGATAATAAAATTGAAATTTTGACTTAATTTTTGTTGGATAAACTTGAAGTTTTTAACAAAGATTATTGGAATTGTTTAACTTTTTAAATATTTAATATTTTATTTGTAAGATAAAAATGTTTCAGGCAAAAAATTGAGACAAACTTTTTTAAATAAAATTTGAATTTTAATTTATAAATTTGGAAATGGACGCGAATAAGGAACATTAACGTTCCAATCCTCCTTCGGTAGGTCCAAAGGGCAAATTATTTATTTCATTGCCAAAATCCCCCTTGGATCCGCCAAAATTCATTTGAATAAAAATTACAAGAATTAAAGAAGAAATTGGGTAATTCATCATTTTAAGGGTTTTTGAGGGTTATTGAGAGGTTCTTAATTTTTATTTTGTGTCAAGGTATTCTTATCTAACCCATCTTCCCTCCGAATTTAAATACCCTTCCATTGTAGTTTGAAAACCCCCAAATAACTTTTTTATTAGTCACCAAGCTTTACATATTATTTAAATAATTCCACGTTTTTTTCTAACTTTAAAGTTGACAAAAGAGGTAAAAATGGGTTTATGAATCACAAATATTTTTTTAAAATAATTTTTGAAGTTTGGGAATTTTTATTGTTTGTTTACTAAGAGCTTTGAAAATAAAAATAAATTGAACTTTTGTGTTATTTTTATGGTTGTTTTCGATATTTAAAAATTAATACAAAGAACCGATCATTAAATTTTGCCATAAAATGAGTCATGGATTTATAGGCAATTTTTTGGTATTGTTAGGATTTAAAGGTAAAATTTAAAAATAATTTTTTTCAAGCCTCTATAAAATTTTCTGAATTGTAAGTCTTCAAATTTAGTGCCGCAGGCGAAAATTTTGAGAATTTTGAAGACTAAAGCCAAAATTTCTTTAAATTTTAGCGACGCCGAAAATTATTATTTTTTTCGAATTTTTAATATTTTCTGCTTATTTTAAAAATTCTATAGAGAATAGATAGAGGGATGGCCCCTTTGAGATAGATGTTCATCTTCAAGTATTCGGAGTCTATAGAGTTTAAAGTTACTGGATCTGTGCGAAGAGCACCGCAGGCAAAATCAACAGATTTTAGGAAGTTATAGCCAATATCATTTTGAAAATTAATAAAAAAAAATAAATTTCCTCAATATCTATGAATAAAATTATTATTCATCAACGGCTCACGTTGAAAATAAACTACAATATTACTTCCCATTATGTACATATTTATGAAAATTTCGGCTCTATCGCAAATGAGGTACGTAATCATATTTTTTCTCCTTCCTTCTTCAAGTTAAAAATGGGGAACTTTTTTCTTAGTAAGGAGAAATAATGTAAGAGGGGTGTACGGAATTTTGGTCACCGGAATTTTGGTCACCAAGGATTTTCGGAACTTTGGTCACCAACTTTTTTGGAATTTTGGTCACCAGCGGAATTTTGGTCACCAAGTCAAAAAACGGAATATTGGACACTGGAATTTTAGGCGAGGGGAATTTGGGCGTCGGAGTGAATTTTTGGATTTTTCCGAAAAATGACACAAAATCAAACTACGTAACTATAGGTTACAAATAGTTTTGGACAAAATATGTCATTCGAAACAACTCGTCGAACTTTGTCAAACGACTCCAAAATCATCCCGATTCAATCATTCTCAACAAAATTATGATTAATTGAATCTCGCTTGAATAAATAATTTTGTGCTAATACATAGCGGGTAGGTGGCATTTCAAAGCTGAAAATCGGTAAAAGGAGTAGGTTTATGTTACCGTTGTAGAACCCAGCGACCGTTGACTCCCGCGAGGCGCGTGCCGCAAAATCCCGCGCGAAGCGCGGGATTTTGCACAAGCGCCTCGCCGATGCCCATAGGTTTACGTTGTCAGATTTTGTGTCATTTTTCGGAAAAATCCAAAAATTCACTCCGACGCCCAAATTCCCCGCGCCTAAAATTCCAGTGTCCAATATTCCGTTTTTTGACTTGGTGACCAAAATTCCGCTGGTGACCAAAATTCCAAAAAAGTTGGTGACCAAAGTTCCGAAAATCCTTGGTGACCAAAATTCCGGTGACCAAAATTCCGGCACCCGTAAGAGGATTAATTTTTTTCATTTTGATTTTTCTATCTGTGTTTTGATGACCGTGTCTCAAAACTGTCCGTGTTTTGACGGTTTTTCAGTCAGTTTCAGTCGTGTTTTGACTGCATTTCAGTCAAAATTGTCGCTGTTTTGACTGTGAAAACACGGTCAGTCAAAACATGAACAAAAAACAAAATGTAAATAATTAATCCTCTTGCATCATTTTTCCTTACGGCGAAATCAGCATACATTAAAAACTAAGAAAAAAGTTCCCCATTTTTAACTTGAGGAAGGAAGGAGAAAAAATATGATTACGCACCTCATTTGCGATAGGGCCAAAATTTCAGTGTTTCTAACAACTACAGAATTGAAATGTTTTGAAAATCGGGTTTTTATTCTAGGCTGGGAGGAAGCTTTCCCTTTCTCCGGCCTTCCGCGACCTTATGGTCTATCCATAAATCAAAAGAAAATTTTTTAACACAAAATAATAATAAATGTAATTAATTTTTCTTTAATTTTGTTTATTAATAAAATTATTATTCATCAACGGCCCTCGTTGAACTGTAGTATTCTGAACTTCAATTTTAGTCCTCTCAATATTTCTAGCATGTATTGTAGAAACAACAGTTTGGGAAGCATTGCATTTAAGCAAGAGTGCCATGTACAGAATTCCACACAAGGCAGAATCTACAGCAGTGAGTAGAATGACTATCTCTCCTTTCTCTCCAGCATTGGGAACACCGCCAATATACATACTCGTGTACTTTAAATAAAAATGATTAATTTTGAATTTTAAGAGAGAAATTAATAACATGACTGTGAATAGCATCTTGAAGTTAAAAATCGCTAACTAGAGAACAGGGATGACTTGGTTGAGAAATAATTCTAATCGGATCTCGAGTCGAAATGAAGTCCCTCGGCTCATCCATAGAGAAACCTAACTTAATTTTGTTTTCTTTTTCAATGTAACTAGTTTGACCTCTCGATACCCCACTCCCCCTATATAGTCCCGTATTGTTACAGGGAATCCCTTCAATCATACTATATGGCTCCATACTTTCCTCTCGTGTTTTCTTTTTCAGAGATAGGTATTAGAGATCGGGATTTTTGAAAAGCCTTGGCATGTTCCTTGACTCTGGTGTTTGATTTATTGACCTGGGCCGAATCCTGAGCCTGTAGTCCAGGAAAACCACAGATCTCTACTAGGTATATTACCAAAAATCCTCACTGTCATTATCTCATATTCCCTCTTCTGCCTAAATCTCTTATACATCGCTAACTAAATTTTACAAATTTACAAATCTTCTTACCTTATTAAAAATTATAGCCGTAAATGTTGGCACTACACCGAGAGCAAATTCAACAAAAAGAGTAAATAAAATAACCCGATTCTTCTAAAAAAATTAATTTTATTTAATTAATTTTTATTTTTCCCAACCAATTTTTTGGCGGCCCCAGTCTGGTGTAGCAACAACAAAAATACAATAGACATTACAACATTAGCGCTACTCAAAACAATTCTCGAAGTGAGTTGAAAATATAAACGCCAATTTGTGGTCGTACAACTTGCTGTTTCGCATATAGGGACTATAATGAATATAGTAATATTAATGGTCTATAAAAATAAACTTCCGGAAAATACAATTATTCCATGGGTTTTGCGTTTTCCGGAATATTCAGAGAATACATTTTATAGTAATCCGGAAAATTATTACTATAATTTTCCGGAAATAACTATTATGTAGGGTATAAAATTATTTTCCGGAATATTTGTTTCCGGAAAACAATACATTTTAAACTATAAATTTCCGGAAAGAATTAATAGAATTATACTTTTTCCGGAAAAATAATATTCAGATTATTTTATTCTATAAAAAGGTTTTCCGGAAGCAGCAATTCATAGCTGTTCTGTTCCGGAATTTATATTACAATTACGGAATTAATATTACAATTCCGGATTTTTTTCCGGAATTTATATTACATTTCCGGAATTATATTCCGAATTCTTTTCCGGAATTAATATTACAATTCCGGAATTAATATTAAAATTCCGGTATTCTTTCCGGAATTTATATTACATTTCCGGAATTATACTCAATTAAATTTTCCGGAAAATTTATATTTACTAGCCTTTCCGGAATAAACTTTCCGGAATCTCTGTATGTCTCTCCTATTTTTCTACTATCTCCACAAAAATAAAATAACTTACTCAATTCCGGATTATCATCAAACAGAGGTAGTTCTAGCAAATGTCCTAGCATATTCACCCCAACAATGGCCATAAAAATTGCAAGACTGATCCATCGATATATTTTGCTGACCCATGTTAAAGTGATTTTTAGGGCTATACATCTTTCTACTGTCAAGAGTAGCACGACAGAAGGGATTGCTCCGTAGAAGACAAATTCGGGCATTGAAAGCCAAAAAATGAGATACGGGGAATATTGATTCCCGTAATTATTATCTATTGTTTCGCGACTTGGACTGATCCAAAATAATATTCGATAGAGCTGGTAAGGTATTCCAAGTATCGAGAATATGACATGGGAGCAGAAAAAGAGACGCAAGCCTGGGGAAAGCTCCTTAATTCGTAAACCCTTGCCAAACTTGATGGCGATTAGAATAGGACACATTGTTGATACCTGAAAGTATTTTTGAATTATTTTTGAAATTTTTTTTTAATTTTTTTCGTACCGTAATAAAATGACAAATCAACGTGATCCAGTTTTGCACGTATTCTATGTACACAATATAATCCGGAAAAGGGAATATAATTGGTGTAGAATTTGTGGAATTATCCGACATTATTTTTGAATTTCTAAAAATCTGTTGAAAATATTTTATTTTTAAATTTTAATTTTGTATTATTGCGTTTTGCGTAATTTTAAAATTGACTGTTGCTAGTGATTTTTAATTATTTTTATGTGTTTCCGGAATTATTATTTTCTGGAAATAATAATTTCTCTAGTATATAAATTTAATGGCTTATATTTTCCTGAAGTTTAGTTTCCGGAAACATATTTTCCATAGTTATTCAAATTTTCAGTTAAATACAAAATTATTTCCGGAATTTTTATGGCAATTATTTCTGAATTTTGATAATACATTTAAGTTTCCGGAAAAATCTATAGAATTTATTATTCCGAAAAACATATTTTCAAAAATATTTTTCAGATCTTTAGGAGACACATTTATATTAGTGTTGCACCCCGTTCCCGCACCACGCCCCCGAAACAATTCGAAAACCCCATACTCCGACACTCCCGCTCCGAGCGTTCGGGTGGACCCCTAATTTATATACATATTAATTTTAAAATGAAATGGAATGATTCTCAAAACCGAATATTCAACATTTAAATAAAAAAATCTTTCTTGACATATAAACATCAAGACTATGAATTAACTTTATTAACGTATAAAAAAGTTGTGAATTCCAATTAAACTAACAAAAATAAATTTAATTATTACCTATTCATTTTTTTAAAATAAAGGTAAAATTAAATTAGTAGGTACTTTTACCTTATAATTAAACTAAACAAAAATTTTTTGTTTATAGAAATATTGTTAATTTAATTTTAAAAAATATTTTTTAAAAATTTAAATTAAATTTTGTGTTTTTTAAACAAATAAAATATAAACATATGATGAATTAATTAAATTTTGTTTATATTTTTCTTCCATTTTTTTATTTTTTGTGGAATTTAATTTATTAAAAAATGTGTACTTTTATCTTTAAAATTAAAAAAATTTGAATAATTTCTAGGGCGTAATTAATTAATGTGGGGGGGGGGGGGGGGGGGGGGGGTGGGGGGTAATTATATTAGTTTGAAATCTGAACGTGGTTTAGGGTATTTGATGGGGTAATTAATAGAAGTGGGGTAATTATCTGAGGGAGGGCAATTAATACAGATTTCATGGTAAATTAAAAATCTAAACAGAATTTCAAATTAAAAAAATTTTTTGGTAATACCTAAGTAGGGTTGTTCACTACGTCTTATAAACGGGTACCCTTGATTTTTGGTATGGACGGGTTTTCGACCGAGGCAGGCCTATATACAGCGAACCAGTATACCGCAAATAAAACTTAACTTCGTTCAAAATTGTCGAATCCGGAATGCTCTGGTATAGTAGTATGATTCAGCTCAAAAGCCGCACCAAGTCATCCCGGATTCGACATCGTGAACTACCCTAGTAAAAATCTAAGAAATTTTTTAAAAGATTCTTTCTCCCCCAATTCATCTTCCTTGAAAATTTTCAGTCTTTTATCACTCATGGACAACTCCAGGCTGAGTATCCTTCGGAATTTCTTGAATATTGGCCATCTGAGGAGTAGCAGCTACAGTTGTGGATGCTTGATTGTAGCGAGTTCGAATCGCTGTGACGTTGCGAATGATTGTTGTGCTGACACCATTTATTGGGTTTAACACTGCCCGGCTGGAATTATTTTATAAATTTTTAGAAGTTACTATCGAAGGCACACTTTCTCATTTATTTGCCTCTCTTCCATTATTTTTCCAACTTCCCTTTCCTAGATCTAATAATAGATCCTTTAATCTTCATATTCCACGAATCTGACTCAGAGTAGAGCAGCTGAATCCATCCAGGAAATAGATAAAGATTGGATGGTACTTGCTTCTGAGGCTCCTTGATGGATGTTATTGACATCATAACCATCCCACCACCGACTTAACATTTTTCATTGTTGCTTGTTTGCCAGACTGAGGAAACTTCGGCCAGTTGTGAACCTATATCCTTGACTTAGGTCTATGTTTCTAATGGGATTCTTATTCAATTTCTTATCTCTTATTGTTAATATCTCCATCATCACTTAATATTTAGAAAACATGCCGATAGGGAGCAACCAACAAAATTGTCCCAATAGGATTCAACACAGGTACCAAATGAATAGCAATATCCGAAAATACAATATACATAACTGTGCTTTGGTCAGCCATAAACATAGGCAGGAAAATTTGGATACACCATGCAGCGATTTCGAAAGTAGGCAAAATTGCCTGAGTTTTTTTTAAAAAATTTCAAAAAAATTAGAAAAAAATTTTTTCTCTGTTTACTTGAAATAAAAGTGCAGCAGAAATTTGTTTATTATAATCTCGCAGCTTTGACGTCATTAAAGACACAGCCTTGCGAATACGAATTACGCAAATAACAATAACTATGTAGAAACATATTGTCAAGGTAATCATTACTGCCAGGTGGATAAGCCAGCGAGGCTCGGACTGGAAATTATAAAAAAATTTTAATAAGATTATATTATTGGATAAACGCGGTAAAATACTGTAGGATCTGAGGATTAATTTCTTATATAAAATCAAATATATTATGAGTACTAAGTCCTGGGTTCTTAAAAGTATATTAAACATCGACTCTTAAAAAGGTCTAGATCAGGGTACTTATTTACTCCCCTCTCCATCAATTTTTTCGGTATATATGTGAAAAAATGGTCAGTCAGTCATAGTTATAGAACTCGTCAAGCTGTAAAAAAACTACCCCAAATCACCAGGGTTGTGGCCAGATTGAGGGGTTGCCGCTCTATTAGAGACCGCCGTTCAAATAGAGGCCGCCGCTCAATTATAGAAAATACGGTAAGTATATACCTCCATCATCTTGTGTGTCTACTAGGGTGGGCCCTTGACTCCTATTCACTACTCCCATTCACCGACCCCTATCTTCAACATGCATCTCCGTCACCAAAAAGTTTCTACCGGTAGGAGACTAACCTAAGTCTTTACTCATTTTAATTTTTATTCACCGTGTTCACAAACGAAACAAAGCTAATATCACTCAATCCAGACTCGCTAGCCATCATTTTAGCAAGCTCCTGCATCTCACCAAATTCATTAGCTCGTGGATAATCAGCCCAAGCAAGCAGTACAGCATGTGCTCCGTTCAAAAATAGTTGGGCAAAGATGAGGGAAAAGAATATTGTATTGGACATTATGCCTAAAATAGGTCTAGTCATTAATTTATTTAATAGATTCTTCCTCAATTCTATTTCTGGGTTTTTGGATTAGAAAGAAAGAAACAGTAGCTATAATCTTGTACTTGTAAAAATCTTATCTTATACTGAGGGATATCTTACGTATGGGATATAACTTTCACAAATAAATAGCCGGGCAACGTGCCTTAACAGAATGCATGTATCTTTTACATTATGATGTCCTACTCATAGGGAGATTTTTGTCAAAAAATTTAAAACTAAAACTTTCCATTACGGCAGAGTATGCAAAAGCGGTAGACGTATTGAGACATTGTCGTTACGAGGAAGAAGTGCTTTAAATATATTTTGAATTTTTTTTGGGTTTTTAATTAGAATAAATCAGAAAATATATTTTTTTATTCAAGGCCTTAAAAAAAATTTTTTTTTTAATTTCCAAAAAAATTTTCAAAAAAAAAATTTTTAACCATCATTTGTATCCAAATAAGATAAGCAGCATAACGTATTGGTTGAGTCGACTTTCTAAAAAATCCATTCATCAGAACTGTTCTATAGCCGTGATCTCCACAAGGGATCTTTCAAAAAAAAATATTTTTAAAAATTCCTAGGCAAATTTAAAATACAGGTTGAACGATAAAAGTCCAAAAACCAACAATCCAATCCATCAAACAACTCATTAATAAAAGCTTCTTGTAGGGCAACATAATTGCTACAGTTTTTGTTTTTATTAGGAAGAACAAAAGAGAATTTAGGGAAATTCCGAAAAACAGAACACAAGTGTCTACAAGACCGTAAACGAGGCGGACACTGTCTATTAAATTAATTAAAGTTTAATTTTAAAATTAAAAAAAAATTAAAAATAATAATAATCTTAAATTTAGTAATAAATTTAGTAATAATCTTAAGTTTAATTTCAAGTTTATTTATTTGCTCAGCTTATTTTCAAGTTTATTTTTATTTCAAGTTCGATCTTAAGTGTATTTTTATTTCTGATTTATACTTAAGTTCAATCTTAAGTTTATTTTTATCTCTGATTTATTTTTCAAGTTTGATCTTAAGTTTGATCTCAAGTTTATTTTTATCCCTTGTTTATTTTTCGAGTTTGATCTTAAGTTTTATCATGTTTATTTTTAAGTTCACTCTTAAGTTTATTACGTCTATTATTCTTAAGTCTGATCTTAAGCCTACCTTTAGTAGAGAAAAACATATTTTCTGTTTTCCACCAACTTGAGAGATTATCATCAATTTCAAGAGAAATATTTAACATTTTTTATTTAAATTTTAATTTAAAATTTATCTTCTAAAAATTTAAAATTAATTTAAAAATAATTATTTAAATAGTATGTATTTAAAAAAATTTTTTAATCTTATTTAAAGTTTATTCTATTAGAAAGTTTGTTTTTAAGTTAAATTTCCCAAACGGATGGTACACCCTAATGCACCGCGAAGTCAACGTACCGGGGATTTATAACTTCTTTCAAACTTATTGGATCCGAGACGCCCGGATATGGTTCGATTTAGCTCTTCCAAGATGCGTCGAAACATACAAGGATGTCTTGGAATTTCAATAACCAAGATGGACCGACTTGGTTTCGAATGATCGAGTGCGTCACAAAATTATTTTACGCGAAATTGACGGACCGATAAAAAATTCTCGACAAGAAAATACATCGACAGTCGGCCGAC